TAGAGATAAAACTTCAATCCTTAGTGTATTTGTTGAGGGTGATAAGAAATTTATTATTGTATTTTATGACGCAAAAGCACAAAAATGAAAAAAAAAACATGTGTTCTCAAGTGTGTGTCAAGTGGATACTACTTTGATGCTCAGTGTATTTATTGAGGGTAGTAAGCATTTATTAACGTACATTTGTGCATTTCCTTATTCATTCCTTTACATGTACTTGATATAATTATTTCTGCAATGAATATGACCAGACTTCCCTGTTACATTACTTGGGGATCTTAGCAGAAATAGCTTTTTTGCGTCTTTTAAAATGGAAGTGAACAAACAACAAAATGTCTGTTATTATTACTTGTAAATTTTCTCATATTATGGTTTTGTGAAATTAGTTTGTGCCATCCCAGACAATTATGTAACTCTATAACACAATAGTAGGATACTCTTTGATAAAGAATGAAACTAAATTGAACACTAAAATGAAAAAAATATGGTAGCAGTTAATTTCACAGTATATAATTCACAAAGCTGCTCTGTCAATTCTTCCAGTGATTCCTGCTGTTTGTGATGTTTATATCTTGTCTCGTTTGAACAAGCCAATAAATTGTTGGAATTGTCGAACACTGCCACTGTCACGTTTTTCTGACTCAGCAATAGGTCTGAAATCTTTTTCATCGTTGACTCTATGAACCACTTCATGATACACTTCACCATTATGATTGCCAAATAATATTTGTCTTTGTATAAAAATTAGCCTGGCTTACTTCTCACTTTTACACCAATGACTTCAATGATGTAGTTGAGCAGTTTTAAGCTTTTTATATGACGTACATTTAACAGGATAAAAGCCCACAAGATGAAAGGAGTGGGACACAGCATCCTTGTAAAAAGTTGCTCATGCCATGTATCAATATTTCTTGCGTCTTGTCTAGCTGATTACTGTTCACAACTTCTGTTTTAGACCCTGCTTTTAATTTTTTCACAACCAGTTTCCTCTTTTTATCACAAATTCACAAAGTAGTCCTGTTTATAGTGTGCATTTTCTTTTCAGAACATTGAGACAAAAATAGCCAAAAACTGAGAATCGACTCAAATTTTTTCAGAAAAATGTGCAGAAAAATGTTAACGAGAGTCTGTAGTGAAAAGGTTAAAGGAGATAGACATAAGCCTGTCATATTTCTTATCATGTGTATTTGTTTGTTTATTCAGAGTGCATTATTTGGATTTATTAGCGGATTCAGCCGATTCCTGTTCTCATCATGACTGGTGTTGTAGACCCCGCTTTTAAAGGAGTTGGACAAAAACCTGGTTTGAAGATATGGAGAATTGAGAAGATGAATGTTGTAAGCTGGCCTGAAAAAGACTATGGCTATTTTTTTGAGGGAGATTCGTACATTGTTTTGCATGTAAGTTTATTTAATTTACTCCGCAATTACTTTACTTTACGTCATTAACCCTTTATCCTGCCAGCCCTGTGTACTTTTACATTTACTTGCCCTGATAAGTGTTAACCTTAACACATTGATTGTACATTGTTTTGCATGTAAGTTTATTTAATTTACTCCGCAATTACTTTACTTTACGTCATTAACCCTTTATCCTGCCAGCCCTGTGTACTTTTACATTTACTTGCCCTGATAAGTGTTAACCTTAACACATTGATTGTACATTGTTTTGTTGTAAATTACATACCAATAAGAAAACATTTTTTTTAACTGAATTGATATTCAATAAAACAAAAGGATCTTCAGAATGGACACTGATGGCACCCTTTAGTTTTTTTTGTCCCTATAATTTGGTTTAGTATCATTTTGACAGTCTAACAAAACCCATTGTCCTTGATGCATTTAAAGTGTTTTTATTTGAAAAGAAAATCTTTATGCATCCCATAACACTGAATGTAAAGGGCTGCGAGACAGCATACATTAAGGTTCTGCAAATAGAAGTAAATTTCTGTGAGTACTGCAGTCAATTTGTGCTATAATGTATGCAAGTCAACTGAAGATGGACACGTACAGTAGAAAAATTGTGGGATTGTGATTTGTGATTTCTATGTTAAACCCTGATTTGAAAATTGAAAAAAAATACAATTCATGTATTTTTCAGAATTATTGCAATTAATTAAAGGGAATTTCTGTCCCAAACCTGTGTTATCTGAATCATTCTAAAGGCATATTTTGCATTATGTTTTGTTCTTGTATTTCCATTGATTCGCTAGCATTTCAGACCCTGTGTATTTTTACTTTAATTTCAGACCAAGAAGGAGAAAGGTGGTCAATTAAGTTGGAGTATTCACTTCTGGCTCGGAAAAGATACATCACAGGTACATGTATAATTGCATTTCATTTACAAAACAAAACACTGCAAGAAGCTAATATAAATACTCGCTATAATGTGCAGTGCTGCGCTACGCTACGCTACGCTACGCTACGCTATGCTACTGATATACTATACTACGATACACTATTACAGCACGGCCAATTACATAATTGGAATGTATTTTTGAGCTGAGAAGTCATCACCTTTGTTTTGATAACTTGCTAAGTTAACGACTTTTGTTTACCATGATAGTGTTGCTGATTGTACTTGATCCTCGCATGTTTAGCACTTTCGAGTCAGAGCAGTCATTTGATCATGACATAACACGACACAATGCAATGCAATGCAACACAATGTAACGTAATGTAACTTAGCCCAACCCTGAGCTATACTGATATACTACACTGCTTTATGATAGGATGAAGCTGGTGTTTGTGCCATCAAAACAGTTGAATTAGATGATGCCTTGGGAGGAGGACCTGTGCAGTGCAGAGAAGTCCAAGCTCATGAATCTCAACAATTTCTATCGTATTTCAAAGATGGTATCATGTAAGTAACCTAGGCAACACATAATAGTCAAGTAACAAACTTCAACTTTCAGAATGTTAAAATCAATTTAGATAGATGATTGAATAGTAAAAATAGTATTTATATAGTATTATAAAAAAAAATATGTCATAACTATAATTGTATTCACCCACATCTCAAATAGAAGCAAACTAAAACAAAATGTATATTATTATAAACTCCTAAGTATTAAACACATATAAATAGTGTTGATCCATCGGTCCACAAAGAACATTTCTATTGAACAGACATTTTTGTATCAATGTCTGTGGCCACCTGGTTGCCATTGATACAATCATGGATCTGTGGGCACCTGGTTGACATTGATACAATCATGGATCTGTGGGCACCTGGTTGACATTGATACAATCATGGATCTGTGGGCACCTGGTTGACATTGATACAATCATGGATCTGTGGGCACCTGGTTGACATTGATACAATCATGGATCTGTGGGCACCTGGTTGCCATTGATACAATCATGGATTTGTGGGCTCCTGGCTGACATTGATACAATCATGGATTTGTTTATTAGGTACAAACCAGGTGGTATGGCTACTGGATTCAAACATGTTGACCGCGATTTCCATGAAAATAGAATGTTGAAAGTGAAAGGTAAACGAACACCAAGGATTAGTGAAGTTCCCATTGGTTGGAAATCGCTCAATAAAGGAGATGTCTTCATCCTGGATCTTGGTACTAGAATTATCCAGTGGAACGGAAGTCAAGCAAATTATTCAGAGAAATTGAAGGTAACTCTCTCAAAAGGCGTTTCTGGTCAAAAAATAAATGTTACTTGATGTATATAGTTTGGTATGATATACATGCTGTACTATGACCACTCCCCTATGCTAAACTATGCCAATTTTACTTTTACAGGGCACACAGACATGTCAGCGTATCCGTGACAGTGAGCGTGGTGGACGGGCACAGATTGTTGTAATTGAAGAAAATGATCGTCGCTATGAGCACGACTTTCTGGAGGTTATGGGAGAGAGAACACCAATTGCTGACGCTGGTGCTGGTGATGATGACAGTGCTTTTGAACGTAATGTGCAAGCTCAAACCAAAATGTACAAGTAAGTGTTGTTGATGGTGCCTCGTCAAATGTGTAATTGAATTATTGCACAAGAAAGAAGGAGCTTCGCGCATGGCATGGATGGTGTACAGTCTTAGCACAACTTATATTATTACATATGTACTGCAGTTTATTTTGACTCGTCCCTGAAATCAAGATCGGTATTTCCACAACCCCATATGCAAATGAGGTCTGAGAGCAAACAAAGTAGTCCCTTCAGGAGTACCGTTTTTCAAAATAAACAATATTTAGAAGTACAATATTTTCCCCTTGGGGTACATGAATATACTTGCCGAGTGAAATGAAATTTGAACAACAGTAATGGTACTTTCAGGCAGTCACTTATTTTGAGTCAAACTAATTTGCATATCACCCATGCAATAATGTTTTTGGTATTTTCACGGTCTATATGCAAATGAACATGGTATTTCCATTGGCTACCGAACTATTTTTATTTTGTAAACACATTTTCGTCTGCTATTTTTATCCGGTTCAAATCGTTCAGCAACATTTTTGGCACCTGAGTGTACATCACATAAAATACTACGATTGGGAGAACTTAATGTATGTTGATCACCTGGAAATTAAGATATATAAACCTTGAAGGGCTCTGGAAGGACCCATCCACAGTAAAATCAGCGATTACTATAGAGCCGCAAATGTTGAACATCGAGATACCAGGAGGTTTCTGCTGGCGACGTTGCAGCTTTACTGAGTTCCAAATAAAGATTATTAGCGCCAAATGAGCAACATTTTAACTGGTAACCAAGACTCATTCAATCCACGACCAGCAAGCAATATCACAAATGAAGTTGTAGCTTGCAGCTCTGCGTCGATCGCTGTCGACGAAAGTCATCCCGTCGGAGTACCGCAGTTGCACGGCTTGTTTGCCAATGCAAAATTCTGTGGAGGAACTTTTAACTTCAACATAAACTGTGTATCATAATCGTCCAGTTCAAGCTCTGGCTCTGTCGTGGCCCCAACTAAACGACCACGAGTAATTTATTCGGACAGTGATTCAGATTAGACACATGATTATTTTATTTCCACACAGACAGTGACACGCGTTCTACACTGGCACGCGCTGCTAGGGCGTAACACTGTCTTGGAATATATTAATGGGCAATTGGGCTCCCCAAATTAAATTCCATTCGATTTGTTGCACGTTCTTTCTTTAATATGAAATAATCAAATATGGAACATATGTAATAATAACAGAACCCCACACCCTTCCCGTGGCTTTCGTTGCATATGGAAGTTATTTTCACTCAAGATGCGGCGTATTCTGCTGTACTTTCACACGCTTCGCTCGTGAAAGTACAGCTGCAGAATACACTGCATCACTCGTTGTCAGTTGTCCAACACTGTTGCTTTTATCGCTTTTCAGTTGATTGCATGTAGCTTAATTCAATGCAGACTGAAAAAGCATGACCATGTTTCGTCACCAGATCTGTCCTTTGATAACAAACAGTAGATGAAAGACGTACACCATTTCAATAATCTAGTTACCAAGTACAAGCAGCATTTGGTTCCCCACTGTCTTTTAGATTTACTTACTACAAACTCTACCATTCCTTTCTACAACACTAGAAATATCACATCCCAAAATGCAGCCAACACTGCAAATATCAATTCACATTATTTTATATTTTATTTTGTACTATATTGTTATATTCTGTCTGTTTATATTTAGCTCCGCTGTCGACTTTGTCGAGCGGAGCTTATCATATGAGTGATTGTCCGTCGTCGTCGTCCGTCGTCGTCGTCCGTCGTCCGTGTCAATGTTTTACTTTTTCGACTTCTTCTTGAAAACTACAAGCCTGAATGCTTTGATACTTGGTGTATATGTACCTTGGGTAGACCTCTCTCAGATTTGTTCATTTCATGATGATATCTTCAATTCTCTAATTTTGGTGAATATTTTTGTCATTTTTAGTAAAAAGTGATATTTTCGACTTCTTGTTGAAAACCGCAAGTGCAATTGCTTTGATATTACATATATAGGTACTACATGTGG